CGTCGCATAAACGCCGACGTACTGCTCAAGCGGGACAGCTTGGACATCCTTGTTGTCCGCTGACTCAATCGGCTCTTCAAGCTGTCGGCTCAAGACATCCTGGGCTAATTATTCCCGAAGGTCTACCTCTGTATCCTGTCTTCCTGACAAGGTCGGGTCTGCCCACGGGATTGCCCCCATCCTGATGTGGTGCAATCTCGAAGCGCTTTCCTGCAAGATACTCTCCCTCCTTCTCTCAAAGTTCCCTCATCCGAGTCTGTCCCACCTGTCTTCTGAAGACGATGGTGCCCTTTCATTTCTCGATGAAGATGCTCCCGACTCCTTCTCCTCGTCCCTTGGGTTTCTCTTGAACTTCCACGGTGACTTTTTCTCACATGCGACTTCTGACTTCTCCTCCTTCGTCTCTTCTGCCGGTGCTGGGCAGCTCCTCAACTTTAGTCTCGAGTCGCTATCCTCTCGTTCACCAACTGCACCATACGATCTCCCGCGCGCAACTTAAGGGCAAGCTTTCCACGATTGCGCAGCAAGACCGTCACCTCTCCTGTGTAATCATCGTCAATGACTCTAATAGCAACTCCATACCTCGGGGCCTATCCTGCCGTGAGCGCCCTCTGGAGCGCAACTCCGGCCCAAAGACCTTTTCGGGGCTGTCGCCCTGTCATCCATAAGCCTGACGTCCAGGGCCCGTGGGCCAACCTTCTCAGTCAGTGTCAGTGATCTCAGGCCACCATCAGCATCAGGCCGCCCAGGCCAACTGCCAACGTGCACTCTCCAGCAATTTTCCATCGCGTCCCCAAAATTCTCTTTCGATTGTTTCAGACGTCAGGTAGCTAATCAGCAACGCCGTCAAGATGTTCTTCATACGCCCTGCAATCTCTGCCGTCTTCGTGATCCTCTTCAACTTCACTTGTGGTTCAGGATCCTCCTCCTCCAGACCAAGCATCTTCAACTTCATGACGCGTTCCATGCTCAGCCTGTCCATTCAAAGCTTTCGTGGCTTGAACTCTGTCACAAAGAGCTCTCCTTCTCCTTCGCTCCAGAACGCTCGCACGGATCCTCAGCCGTCTGGTCCGCCTCGACCCTGTCTGTCCGGTAGCCAGAAGCAGCGCAGCGCGGTCGTCATTCGACATCTCAACCGTGGCTTCACCTTCAAGGAGCCCTGCCAATGACTTCGCACACCTAGCCATGGTCAATGGTCAACGCTTCCATCAATGCTGACAGCTCGCGTTTGGCGATCAAGGCAGCAATCAACGTCATGGAGTCTTCTTTCTCCAGTGGCTTATAGGGCACCTCCAAAGCGGATGTGGGATCCTTTGCGAGCCGCTGCGGCTTTCGGCCAACCGAATAAACACAATCTGGTCGCACCGTTGCAGCAACCACCTCCATCCCCCACGCAATCCTTTAGTTTCTTTCACTTCTTGCGCCGTTGGATCTTGTTCTGGCATCATCACAAAGGCCACGCTCTTATCCGTTCTATTCCTCCACATGGGATTTCTGATGAAGGTATAGTCCAACTTCTTTTCTCTTCATCACCTCAAGCCCACAAAAACAAACAGCCAATTCCTCTTTCCTCGTTCAGCCATTGAGGTTGACACCCTCCACCTCTTCCAAACGGCTTCAGTGCCTACTTTCACGATCTCCGGGCAAGGATCAGAAAGTCACGCGGGCCGCCGAAATATAGGCCGCATCCTTTTCACCCTCCTCAACAAGTGCCAGCAAATTTGGATCACCCAACGACATGAGTTGAAGAGCCTTCTTCTTGCGCTCAATCTGGATCTTGGGAAGCTCCTGGTCACGACAAAAAGCATGCCGCGCAACCCACAGCAAAGATACTTCGTGGAACCATTGCAAGCAATTCGTTTTGCGACGGTGGCGACAGCAAAAACGCCGCGGCAACATCCCAAGCCGCTCCCGTCCAGTTTCTCATCAATGCAGCGCGGAGCGCTCAACTGGACACTGTCAAGCCCAGAAGCAAACAGATCCTCCCAGGTTCTGTTGTCCATCAGGTTACCGCGTCCAACGCCTCTCACTTTGGGCCGTCCATCAGCGAACTTTCTTCTTCCTCCCCTCCTCAGTCATCCCCTTGATCTTCACGGTCCTGCGGCCTTTATCTCTTTTGCTCACAGCAGCCACAATCTCCTTCTTCAATCCGGCGCCCATGCTGGCCAGGATGCAGAATCTGACCCTCTTGGTCAGAGCAATCGCAAGAGGAATGTCTTTGAAGCCCTTTCCGATCCTGCAAACAAGCACGTCGACTTTCTGCGCAAACCACTAAGGGACCGACTTCATTATCTTTGTGTCAAAATCTGTTGTTGGAGTTGGAGACGGGATCCCAGCAAATGAACCTTAGCTCCTTTCCAGGTCCCACTGCATCGCCGTCCAAATACTCCTCAAACTCTTTGTAGACCACTGAAATCCCAGCTCCGTGCTGAGAAGCATCTTGCGCCACTTCCCCCAACGAAGGTTCCTTGATGACGAAGCATCCTCTAAGCTATCATTCCTGCTCCTGAAGTAGACTCACTTTCGCTTGCAGCTGCTGGTTCAACTGCAGCTCGCTAGATTTCCCCCCCATCTGGTCCTCCTCCACTAGGCGTTGGGCGGTCCACCACTGCCACAAGCCCACTCCGTTCTTGCGACAGTGAGAACGCTGAAGACAAAAACGCCATGAGTCTCACTCAAGAAGCTCCAGGCCCCGAGTTGAGGTCCCATCAATCCTTTCGAGAGGCGGCGGCATAGCCCTCTGTTCAAAATCCAGATTGCCCCCGAAGATTCTTTGGGCAAAGTAAATGGCCTTTATGGCCCTCAGCGTCGCCTCGGGCTCACACCTTCTGGATTTGCTGGCGACATCACAAATGGTTCACCTTGTGCATGCTGCTCTTTTATCGGGAGTCTCCATCAGATCTTCTCCATCTTCAGGAAGAGCAACTTCTGATGCGTCCATGGCTTCACTTCGGCCAAGGACACAGGCGTTGGGCTCAAACCCTCTAAACTGCAGCAGCGAATTGGTGGTCCCACACACACAATAGTCTTGATCTTTCAAGGGCTCCGGTGGAGTTTTCATCTCAACATACAGTCAAGCCCCTCTACACCACCTGGTGAAAAGTCATGAAAAGTCATGTAGGCATTCTAGCTACACTTCATGAAAATTTCATGAAAGTGGATGAATCTGTAAGAAATTTTGTTTGTTTAGATTTGGTACTAATTCGACACAATTGAATTCTTTCTAACCGGCGTCCTTTCATTTGCAAGAATATGGTTCTACCGAGCGTCCGCAGAGAAACGCATCGGGAAAGGAGTTGGCAAAGAATCCATTGGAAAGATGGCAAACGCAGTTTGCAAACAGATTTAAAAGGAGCGCATTTCCAATTCAACAAACGAAGTGATCTATTGGGATGCGCTTGGGAGCTCCGGCTACAATTGGCGAGGGCATTCAGAAAAGCAGCAACGCCAACAGTCTGAAAATCGACCTTTCGCAAAAACTTGGCAAGGGGCAGCAAACACATAGCAACAACAAAATGCTTTGAAAGCCCACCTGGACGAATGGCAGTTGAACACATCCAAAAATGAGGGCAACACATAGCAACACTATTCAAAAGTCTTGGCCCCTTGCATAGATGGGCCCAGAACCACTGCCCAGTGGAAGCTGAGTCACCCCAGTCATGGAGCACAAAAGATAGTTTAAAGTTGCATCAGTGTATCTTCTCAGAACTAGCCTTTGACTGCTTTGTTTCGCTTTCCTCTTTCGTCTTATTTCCTTACCTTCAGGAAATGCTTGAAAAGAGTGCTGCGCGGAAATTTGACGCGTATTGCGGAATGAGGAGATTCAATTTAGAGGCTCCGCGAGTAGGAACATGTCTACTGCTATGCCTGTGGTGAAAACAACCTTTCTTTATAACCTTGTATAAGCGTACTCCGCTCCATTCCGAGTGACTGCAAGGTTGAAGACTTCAAAGTGACAAACACCCTGCAAGCACAGGAGTTGCGGAAACATGACGCGATGGTAAAACATGGCACTGGAAAAGTAATGCAGCAAAACAAACCCTCTCCTTGGACTTCTATTGCGCATAATGATGCCACAACAACAGTCCATCTTGATCTTTAGGGCATCTAGCCAGAACAATCACAACTAGTTGTCAAAGGCAGGCAGTACTAGACTTAAGCTCATTCTAGTCACTCAAACACGGCCCAGCACGCAGCCTTTTTTCAACAAAATATGTAGTTTCTCTTCGAATTATCGCGGACCGTTCATACGCAAAGGAGTGACCTTTGTCACCTTGCAGCTGCAGCGCGATGCAGAATGCAATGTGACCTTGTCTGGTACAGTTCTTGCCTTGTTTTTTCAGTGTGCCATGGATTCTTCTGCAAGACTTGCTAAAATATATATAGATCATCCCATCATCATCCTACCAGATCTTCTTCATCGTTTGATCAAATCTTTCGACGTCAAGCTATATTGTTGCGCTGCCCTGTGTTCTCGAGCCTTGTTGGTCGGGGTACAGCGGCCCGCAGCCGATGTAACACTGACCTGAATACATGTGGACACGCCCTGGGGGGAGGTGGAATGACTTTTTTGGCGCCCTAGGCTGCAACAAAGCAATTTTGTAAAGTTTTCCTGTGTTTGTTCGGTTTTTGCCCCAGTTGACCTTGTCCACTTTTTACATAGTTTCGTGGAAACAAGTCTCCTGAAGCAAGGGGACCATGTACAATGTAAAAGTACAGTATGTCATGTGTACTTCTTGATATATATATATATATAGATGTGTAGGCACCTTTGCGTATAACATAACGACCTCCTTTCCGCGCCAACTACTCGACGCCAGCTCTACCCTACCTCACTCTTGTGTACGGTATCAAACTTAATGGTGAATAGTATGCAACATGAAGTGCTAAGGTGTCCGTAGTCTGTAGTGGAGGGCGATACATTGGCAGAGGGCAAGAAAACAGAAGGAGAAAACAGGATGTGCTTTTGCTCAACATTGTTTTTCAAGGGAGTGAAAAAAGATTGAAGAAAGAGTGAACCCACTCCTCTCCATTGAGCTTGTAAGTCGTCGTGGCCCAAGCCAAGTTTGTGAGGCGGTTGCAATGGAAAGACCTCCATGAACCTCACACCCCCGGGAGGCTCAGAAAGTGTGCTTTGTCAAGAGCAGCCGGCCGTTTCTGGCATCCTTCATAAAAAAACATCAAAGGCTGAGGCCCCTGAGATTGATAACGCTTGGTATCAAGTCTGTCATTGTGAGTCAAGAGTCAAGCGGTGCAAAGGTTGCTGAAGCAAGTCAGAAAAGTGGAACTACTTCGGAGAACTGCGCGTTGAAGACGGCAGTTTGTAGTGCAGATCTTGTTCATAGCGGACTGCGTAAGACAAGCCATGTTCGGCGCTCATGCGCGTTGAATCAGAAACCGGATGACTCCGACCATGGCGCGAGCGAGCCAAAAATTGGACGCTAGGCTGAGAAACCTGGCGCGTCCACCTGGTCAGTCATCCTCCACTGCTTCCTTGACCAAAGCTTCACACGCAAATAGGGATTCCCCATGCCCAACCCACAGCGGCATCCAAGACTCAAAAGTAGTACCGGCAATAAAAGGGTGAGGCCAGGTTGAACTTGTCCATGTCTTCATCACCAGAGCCATGGTCTCGCAGGCCGGCGCCCGCGTGCAAAGGGCAGAAGCGAGCTGTGGTTGACCCGCGCTTCAAGGGTAGCCAAACAACGTTTTGCTGCAACAAAGGGCATTTGTCGCTCCACAACTGTTGAGGAAGCATCGCGCTCACACGCACCCATCTGAGTGTCTATCTTCCTTCCTGTCCAGCCATTGTCAGATCAAACTGTCCATGCATCCTTCACTCACGCCTGACCTTGCTGAGCGCCCCCATGGTGGGGCCAGCCTTTGTCGCCTGCAGCCGAGTCTCACGAGTGCCGCTGCGTAGTCGAACATCTCCTCGCGGTCTCTGCCTCCTGATTGCCATCCAGACCCGCCTGCTCCTGCACCAGCGCCTGCTGTGCCTCCAGAGCTTGCCTCACCTGCTCTCCCTGCTGACGCACCTTGAGCTTTCCGCCTACTCGGATGGTGCGGTGGACAACTTCCTGCGCTGGGCGTGGCCTATGACATCAACCCAAGCCCCTGTCCACAGCGTGGTAGGGTCGGGGGTCCTTCGCCTGTCTTCTGTCTTTGGGCAGTCCCAGGGCCTTCATCAGGAGATTGCGCAGGACCTCTTGCGTACAACTTGGCTCCCCATCTTCTCGCCTTGGCGTCTCATTCCAATTATTTGGCCAGTCTTCCCTCATGTCTTCTTCTACTTCAATGCCTCGCACGGACCTTCCACGCGCCCCAACTCGCTCAGGCGCATTCGAAGAAAGAGTGGGCGCCCGCTTCAATTGGCGAAGCTGCCGGCATTTGGAGGGGACAATTGCAGAAGGGCTTGGAAGCCACAGTCCAAATAGACTTGGGGCATTGCCACGGATTGCCATTGGCCTTTCGTGACCTTCAGTGCACCCAGGGTCTTTCCATAGGCTGTCGCAACTCACTCTCCACGAAGTGAGTAGCACTACGCGCAGGGACTCAAGGCGCAGCTCCCAGCAACTCAAAACGGGTGCCATCCCAAAGGGCGCTGCCCTTCGTACGAAGCCGCAGCAGAATATGTTTCAGCCTGCAAGTCATCCCAACTCCTGTACGCTACCCTCTTCTAAAAGCCATGCCAAAAATGCAATGGATGAGACTCGGATGATCTACAGCAAGGATGAGCAAGGCAGAATACAAACAGGAGAAGCAGCACAGGGTAGGGTAACGTAGACCAATGCAAATAAAAAGAAGCGCGCGCAACAAATTTTGTGGTCCTGGGCTACGGGGTGCTTCCTGGCTCTACCCCATTGTCCGGCTTGAAAAGAAACAATGAAGTAACTTGAACTGATTGCAACTGACTTAACTGATTCTAATGCCTTTAGAGATTAGAATATGGTAAGATATTCTCAAAATCGCAGTGAGCACCACCAGACCCGAACCGCGAGCTCCAGTGGGCAACATCGGACCGGAACCAGGTGCGCGGATTTCAGAAACAATGCCAGTATATGTGCCAGACAGAGTGTTAGAAAATATGCACGAAATATGGATTGAAATGCAATCAAAACAAAGCCGTGAACTGCCATGGTGGGGATCACTCAAGCTCAAGCTCACTGAAAGCCAACATGTTATTATAGAATGAGGTCCCTGGTACTCTATATATATATACACATAGTATATGCATATGCGGATACGGGAGTATATTACTATGACCTTTTGTTTTTTTTTTTCTCACGTCGTACTTCGGACCGTGTTGTTTGAGTGAAGAAACTCTCGCAGCTAGCGGCTGCTTCGATGCAAGCTTTGTAAGACCCTTGCGCAAGGTGCAGCAAACCAAATGCAAGCAACAAAATTCTGCGCTTTGCTTTTTCACTCTTGAGATTGGCAATCGAGGGGGCTCACCATGTAAGGTGCAGATCGGAATGTAATCCCACCCCACCGACTCTTTTTGCTATCTAGAACGCGACGCATTTCAACTTGGCTAGCAGGCTCCCGATGTGAAATGTGTCATGTGTCCCAAAACAACCTCTTCTGCTACAAAAATTGTAACGGCGCAAGTCAACAACCTTCAATTCACCTTTGTGACCTTTGTAGACTGATCCTTACTTGTAGAATTCGACAGCTGTTACATTGGAGTCAAAGCCGACGCAAAGACTGAAGTCTGTCTCCTTAAAGCACCCTCTTACTCCAACAGTTATATTATATATATACTTTAGAGCGACTTTGTTTATATCTTGCACGAGCACGCGCAAAAAGAGTGCTTGCATCACTTTCTTGGCTCCACACGTTCATGAAAGGCTGTGGTTGAACCTGCAAGGTCATAACGTAGATAAATGTAAATAGTATATCTCACAAGAAACATCAATTCAGAAAGGCCTCCATGGCTGCCATGTTCAAAGGCTCACGTATCCTGATGGCAAGACCCTTGCATGCAAACGGCTGGACGTTCGGTCAATCCTGACAATTTCTAAAGCGCAAAGGTGGGGTAGACTAGACTAAGCCACTCAGTGCTTTGCTTGCTGTCCTTTCGACACTCGCTGGGGCAGTGAAGGCATTTTGCGCCATGCGGGCCTGTGCTCTGTTCACAACACAACCAGGCGATGCTCTCCATGTTTTAGCTTACCACTTCCTGCAAATGCGTGCAATGCATCTCCACTTTTATAGGCCCTCTGCGAAAAGACCTATTATATATATGTATATATATATATGATTATTGTATATATGCATGACGGAGCTGAAAACATTGAACTATTGAACATACTGAGTTTTGCATAGCGTTTTAGACGGCTCCGTGAGAAGCAACGATGGACGTTGACAAACAATGTTAGACATGCAGGGTTTGCGACCACGTTGGGAACAAATTCAGTGTTTAGCAACCTCATAGAACAAATCGCTTGCTGAGCAGTCGCGAAGCAAACGGAGAATCAGATTTTGCTTTCACTGCCACGTCATGTGTTTGTTGCTTTCATTCAAATGCCCGAAAGGACTCATGGCATCAAGTCATAGTCACTGGAAGCCCGCAACTGCTTCGAGCTTTGTTTGAACTGAAAGGTGAAAAGGGGCTCTATGAACTGCAAGTCCTCATCGCTACAGGATGGAAGAAGAGCTAACGAACTGGTAAACAAAGATCAAGGCCAGCAGACTTTCGTCATCCAGCAACAGACTCGTGTCAGAACGACAACGGAGACAGCTGGCAGGATAGAAATCATCAGAAAGAGGAGCACATCAATGGATGGCCACCAGCATCAAACAACTGTAGTCTTTTCAGTTCATGGACCGAAAGGAATAAATAGATGAATGAACGAACGAATGAGTGATAACCGATAACCACGAAAAACACTTGAATCGTGGAGGCAAATAAAACAAGGGCATTGAAGGAACTGGCATGTGTTATAATGTGTGTCACCTGTCAACATGACGCAGGAAGGCTTCCCATGCAACTGTCGTAATTACATTCGATACATCAAGAAAGCAGCATACATCAGGAAAAGTATGGAAAAGTAAAGTCAATAACATAATTGTTCAACATTCGTGATGCTTCTTGCATTTCATGTGTCATGCCGTCACGCCAAGACTTATCAGGCTGGCACAATGCTGGGCCCACTTGGTGCGGCCTTAAGCAGACAGCAATACTCTTGATCTTCATGCATTCTCTTCCAGCAAGCAGTCCAACAGTTGAACATCCTCTTGGGGAAGCAGTGTGAAACTGGGCGAAACAACATGTGCATTGGGTCAGCGTGGCGTTCGGAATCTGGGTTTCAGAAACTGGAAAGGTGGGTTTCGGCAACTCGCCAAATATGTTCGGAAACGGTTGGTTTCGGAAACTGGAACGTGGGTTTCGGCAACTGAAAACGTAGCTAAGGGAAACCAAGAGCTATGTTTGCGTAGCGTGCGCAACGGACGTCATTATCCCTGGCCCCACCCTCCCCCCCCACCCCCAATATTGCAAAACCGACAAGGACAGTTTCTGAAACCGACAAAAACCAGTTGTTCAAACCGACAAAGCAGTTTCTGAAACTGACAAAAGCCAGTTGCTGAAACCGACAAAAGCAGTTGTTGAAACCGACAAAAGCCAGTTGTTGAAACCGACAAAAGCCAGTTGTTGAAACCGACAAAAGCCAGTTGTTGAAACCGACAAAACCAGTTTCTGAAACTGACAAAAGCCAGTTGCTGAAACCGACAAAAGCCAGTTGTTGAAGCCGACAAAAGCCAGTTGTTGAAACCGACAAAAGCCAGTTGTTGAAACCGACAAAAGCTAGTTGTCGAAACCGACAAAACCAGTTTCTGAAACCGACAAAAGCCAGTTGCTGAAGCCGACAAAAGCCAGTTGTTGAAACCGACAAAAGCCAGTTGTTGAAACCGACAAAACCAGTTTCTGAAACCGACAAAAGCCAGTTGCTGAAACCGACAAGAGCCAGTTGTTGAAACCGACAAAAGCCAGTTGCTGAAACCGACAAAACCAGCTGCTGAAACCGACAAAACCCGTTGCAAAAACCGACAAATCCAGTTGCTGAACCGCAGTTGCTGAAACCAACAAATAGTTCCTGAAACCTAGTTGCTGAACGCAGAGTAGTTGCTGAACATTACTTTATTCATGATGGTCATGATCCTTGTGGATGTGTTGACGTCAGAAGCTCCCAACTTAACATTTTGATACATTTTGGCAATCATGTGAGCCCATGGTGGATGCTACCTGAAAGCAAAGAACACCGAGCAAGCAGGCTAGATCAGGCTAGCCGCCGCCAGCCACCAATCCACGAATCAAGCCATCTCAGCTTTTGATAAACACGTCACTTTGTTGGCCTGACAATCTACAGCAAAAAGAACAAATAGCTAGTCAAAAAAATTGGACCGGTTTCTTCGATCTACCTGGGCAGCAACAGAACGACTGCCGTGACACGATCTCATTGAGCAGTTTTGGCAAACTTGATGTTCTCGGTGTGCACTTGATGCAGCTTGATTGGTGCTGCATGCCTACATTGTGTATCGTTTCGCTCCATCCTCATTCCGGATTTCTACAGCATCGCTGCCAGAGCCCTCTCTCCCTCTCTCTCCATAGACTCCAGCTATGCAATCTCGGGGTGAAACTGCTGACATTTGCAGTCGCGGAGGCAGCCTGCAGTAAATGCTGCTTGACGCATTGAACGCTTCACAGATCGTGTGGTATGGTAATGCGCATGGCTTTGGGCTTGTGGCCTACATATGAAAAAAAAAAATATATACATATACAGGGGCATATGTTTGGCTGCCAACACGACTCGTTCTCAACATGCTCTACATGCGAAAGAATCCATCCAAATTTGAACTAATCGCGGTGGCTAACCATGATTCATCATGATTCCTGAGACGTGTTGCCAAATTGCGCGACACCCTCTCTTGACCACATCTTTAGGCCTTTTGAGACCTTTAAGCTAAGAACCATGTCGAACAGTTTGAATCGTTAAACTATTAAGAAACGATATAGCTCCTTGAGGGAGCGAGGTCCCGATCCCCCGCTTCGTCCCATTTCGCCAAGTGTCTGCCGGAGCTGTGGCACGCGAGGAGTCACAGGATTACTTCCTGCACAATGAACACGATGCAAGGCAAAGTGAACAAAATACAGATTCAATATGATTCAATACTCATTCCATATCTTATGTAAGTGACCCTTCGGGTAGCTTTTCTAGCTTGCATATCCTTTCAATGATAGCATGCAGCATCCTGGCTGTGGGCCGTGGAGGCATGCAGCTGGTATTTGCACAGCAGGTGCCTTTGCCCAGAATCCCAAAAGACATCTGGGCTTTTAAAGTACCTTTTGTCTCAACGCCAGGGCTCTTGCAGTACTCATGGGGCATGGCATCGAGACTGGAGATATGCTCGACCCAACCTTGTGACAAGAGTTGTCAATCAATTCATCAAGTGCTTTTCACGTTGTTATAACACATTACCATGGAATGTCGGTTTACTGTTTCACTGGCGTGTGATAGAGTACATATAGGGCTCCTTTGTTATCAGTCTGCCGCCTGCCCAAGCTGGCTATTAAAAAACGGTTGGGTAATCCAAGTTGCATGTCCATCCCAGCCAGATAGTGATGCAGGTCCCATTGGCACCTCCAGAGCTGCAAGTTACGCCAAATCGGCGTGCTGAGTGTCCTCCTTCCATAGACATGTATTCTGCTTCCACATGGGTCTCCGAATTTGTTGTATTTTCAAAGCACATGCACAGCTTTGGGCTGGCCTGTCGCACAGGATGTCTGGGTGTCACCTCAGGCTCCGAATGTCTGTGGACGTCTCCGCAAAAAGCATGGTTTAAGTGGAGTGTTCTGGTAAACTTGTTCATTTTTTGGTACATGAGTCAGTCAACCATCCTCCATCTAGTTGGACCTATGCCCCAACTTAATCTTGAATCTTTCTTACGAGTAGTGCGTGTGGATTTATTGCAGGGATGGGACATCTGAAAAAGGAAAACAGCCTAGAACATTTGGTATTTATCGAAGCGTCAATGCGGGTGAAACCAAATTAGGCTTTGTCAGTTCACAGAACGCCTTTGTGAGTACTCCGGAGAAATAAGTGCGAAAATGAATGCAATGAGATCAAGTGGGAACAAGGTTATTATAGGTAAATCAAAGGATATCAAAGGCAACAAAAAGTCGCTCGTGACCAAAACGAGAGGTCCCAACAGAATCAATGGGCCAATGGGTGCCAAAACGAACAAGTAACGCGGCGAAAATCTTAAGAGAGAGCCGACGTCGGGTCGGGCGTTGCCTGTTGCGGTTTTTGGAGAAGAATCCAAACAGTCAACTCTCCGATTTGCCATGCTGGTGACTCAATCTCCCCTTTTGGTGTGGACTTGATGAATGCCCTGTGGAGGCTGCAATACTCAATATCGAAATTCCTTTGGCACCGGCTCTTACCCGTCTTGCCCCTCGCTCTCTTGCCAGGCCAAACAAACCACACTTCTGAAGGCTCCCACTTCACGAAGAAAGTTGAGTTCCCGGTAGCTGTCTCGGTTGGCCACATAGGCTTGCTCAAGCTTCAGCCTGTCATCAATGCTTTCACCATTCGACAAATGTGCCCTCCAAGCATTGACACCACTGACACAAATTGACATGATGCACTTCTGAACATAGAAACGTACCAGACCAGCGACTTTGCAGCGAATGTCGGCCGACCCCGGGGGCACGGTGGAGTGGGCCCGAACGGTCGAGTTTCTATTTTAGTACCAAAGTTTTAGTTTTTGGAAGCAACTCTAGACACTGACGAATGAGTGGCTGAAGACTCGTTTGAGCATGTTAGCATAGGCATTGAAAATCATTAGACATGATATTCCTATACTTTCCTATCTAATGCGATTCTACTATATATATATGGATTTCCCCACATCCCTATGTGGGGTTCTAGTTTTTCGCTCTGCAACCGCCGCTCCGCCTCCCGCCGCCTCCGCCTCCGCCTCCTCCCGCCGCCGCCACTCAACTTAGACCACTCAACTCACACCACTCATCTACACCACTCAACTTGAACCTCTCAACTCACAGCACTCCACTCACACCACCTGTCTTACACCGCCTATCTCACCACCCATCTTACACCACTCATCTCACACCACTCAACTAACACCACCTATCTTACACCACCTATCTTACGCCACCTATCTCACACCACTCATCTTACACCACTCAACTCACACCACTCATCTACACCACTCAACTTACACCACAGACTCAACTCACACCACCTGTCTTACACCACCCATCTTACACCACCTATCTCACATCACTCATCTTACACCACTCATCCACCTATCTCACACCACATTGACTGTGACAGCTTGCGTTGCGACCTCCGGTGTCGAAGGTGCTGCAGCTGCCGGTGTTTGTGGGAGTGCAGTCATGACCGGTGTCTGTAGTCCTGTGTCTGGGGCCTGAGCAACTTCATCTACAGCAGGGAGCTCATCAGTCTCCGGTGGACCACGTTGGTCATCAAGTAGGTTCTCCTGGAACTGGGCCGTGGCATCTTTGAGGGCTGCAATGTCCTCTTCATCTGGTGTGCGCTGCTCGAAGCCAAAGGAGGTTCTCATCAAGGAATCGGCGCATGGTCCATGCGCCTCTCTTCTTTGCTCCGCGCTTCTGCCACCTCCAGATTGCCACACGCTGTCCAGGCATCACATCTGGAGCCTTTGTAACGTGGGTCTTTCTCAACAAGGCCCTCCGCAAAGCTTGACTGGCGTTCATGTCTGCCAGACACTTGATGGCTTCACAACGAGCCATCTCGGCGCGCAAGGCCGGGTTGTCTGTCTCCTCATCCTGCGAGGAGAAGCGAGCACTGTTTCATCTTCCAAAACATTGTCTGGTAGTCGAGGTTGGCGACCAAACACTGCTTGGTAGGCCGTCCGGCTTCGTGAAAAACACATGTTGTTCATGGCATGGACTGTCGCAGTGAGGGCTGTCTTGACATCACGTTTGTCCACGACGCTCATGTGGTCAATGACCTGGTTGAAAGGTATGCAGCTCGGGTCGACCAAACGGTGGTGTTCACAGGTGTTCTTCTTGTGGTTGGGGCATAGACAATGTAACATGTATCTTGCCCAGGTCCATCCTGAGGAGGTTGGAGATCTCTTTGTCGGACTTGACGTCCACATAGTATGGTCGCTTTGCCGACCGTTCAAAGGAGTTGGTGATGTACTCGGTGAGCTTGTTCCATTGTGACAGATCGGTCGTTGGCTGTGACACTGCCATGACCTGGTGAAGTGGGGGCCCAAAACGATGTGGCTCATGTTGTGCAACCACTCCACGAAGCTCTTGCAAGATTGTGCGATATAGAAGGTCTGGGTAGGCCTGTGAAGGCTTCGTCAGTGAGCCCTCAATGGGCTTGCAGTACTGGCGCTCCAGAGGTGAAAGGCGCCGATGCAAGGCTTAATGCAGGCCAGGTTGATTGCCAACCCATCGCATGGTCTTGATGATGGGGTCGCCGTCGATCTCAGCACCAAAGGCCCCAGCATCCAAGGTCGTAGACCACACGCCAGGCTCTTGCGTCAGAGCTTGAATCTAATAGCGATGGCCTCCAACTCAACAGCAATGGCCTCCATAGCGATGGCCTCCAACCTAATAGCGATGGCCTCCAAATCGAGGGTCCAAAGATCAGACCTGAAAGGGTTCTCGATGGCCGTTGGCCATTTGCTCTCTTGCCACCTTTCTCGCAAAGCGGGGAAGTTCCCGCTCCTCTTCGCGAAGTTCTTCAAGCAGCGCCTGTCGATCCATTGAGCTCCAATTTATATTCTTGGAGAAGTGATTCCAAAGCCGGCAGTCAACGCCCATGGGCACCAGCCAGGGCTTATAGGTCTTGATCGTCTTGAAGATCCGGTCTCTGGTCGCACAGTCCTTGAAGTTCTGGCCATAGAGCAAGTCCGGGGGCTCCATGGCGACGAGGTTGTAGTGATGAGCCAATGAAGACGTCGTGGCACTTCCTGCAAACAACTCAAACAAATCCACCTGTGGAGGTCGGTCTGCCACGGTCTTCCCAACCATGTAGATCTTGTACTCCATCTCAAGGACCTCATAGCTCTTTTTCCACATGCCTCGCAGGCGCTTAGCTAGTCCTGGAGGGATTAGTCGCAGGCCTCGTCGTCGTCCACGTGGATCTGCTGGTGTGGGATCACTCCAAGCTCCATGAGGCGATGGTGTCGGCGTTGATCTGCCGTCTTTTCCATGGAGTTTCTCTGAGCCTCGAAGCTGAGCTCGTTCAAGAACATGTACTCCGTCATGTTGGCCGGCTCGGCGTCCAGAGCAGACTCCTGTTTGCAGATCTGCCATACCTCGTGTTGGAGGTCCGCCGGCAAGTGTTCCGTCTTCAGATCCCACGTGTTGAAATTCGCTCAGAACCTCTGGGAAGTGCTTGCCGTAGAGCTCGCCGATGGAGTAGTCTTGGCATAGCCCGGCCGCTTCGTCGGCTTTGGCTTTGCTTTGGCTCCCTTGTCCAACACTGCTGCTTCCGATTCCTTGAGGATCGTCGCTGAGGATGGTGCCGGCAATGGCTGCAATGGCGTAGAGGAGCTTGGCGATGAAACCTTTGTTTCCCACTTCTCGACGGTTGCGTTCCAACGCCACTTCATGTGGCAAATGAGGCACGTCGCAAACCGTCCGTGAGCGTTGCCATGACGCCTCACATGGTCGCAGTGCTTCGGCAAGGGGAAGGGAGCTGGACTGCCCTCCAAAGGAAATCCCGTGGGACAAGGTGGAGTCTTGGAGCCGTACATCGCTAGCACCAGCCGCTTCCATGCCACCACCATGGGGGAGGTGCTTGTCTCATCGTCCAAGGGCTTACGCAGCGAATTGCGAGATGCTTGGGCGCTCATCTGAGGCGGTGGAATGAGAAGCTCAGGACGTGGTGACTTCCAAACATGTGGCTGAGAAAACAACTTCCAAACAGCCATCGGTGAGGTGCTTGTGAACGATCACAATCAAACAACTTGATGGCAAAATGACCTCCAACTTGAAAAAGATCAACTGCAATGTTCAAAAGCTCGAACTCGACACGTCGAACCGGCAGGCGGAGGTTGGTTTGCAAAATGTCCAACAAGCTGTTGCTGCAGGGGATCTTCTCTGGGAGGATTGTCGCGCCAAGTAAAAGGGGTTGTCCACCAATAACGCAAGGGATGTAGGCCTTCTTTGTTGCTATAGTTGGGGATCCCTTGCCGAACTGGTAGATCTCGTGGCAATCAACGATCTTGGGGACCATGTCATAGCTCTTGAGGTATTCGATGTGGTGGTCAAACCATTCTTGGCCGCAGCAGTTTCGTTGACATGCCGAATCTATGATCATCATGCCCTCAAAAACCTTGGGGGTGCACTGCACTTCATGGACGGTGAAGGTGGACTCGAAACAGTTCATGTTGATGGTGAACATCGTGCCATAATCATGTGAAACCTCAGGGGTGCCTTCAACAATGTCGAGGCCTCCGTCATGGTGAGCCATGCTCACACGATACGAAGAGGAGGAACCCTTTTGGCTCATGCTCTTGTCATGAACGTGTGGGGTCTTCCCCTTGGGTCCACCCTTGGGGCCTTTTGCACCATGTGGGCACTGTGCATCTCCGGCCCAATGGCCGAGTCCGCCGCAAGCGGAACAGTGAGTAACCTTCTTGAGCTCTGGAGGGAGCCTTGTCTTCTTCGCAGGGTTGGAGGTCGTGAACTTCCTCCCAAGCGTCACTCCAGAGAGCCTGCGAGCCGTCACGGTGAGGATCTCAGCGATCATCTCTGAAAGGTCGGCCTCTTGGCCATCTTCATCGGGTTCACCGGCGTTAGCCGGGTCGTCTTGGCCGTCATGGCCATCATCGTCCTGCTCGGGCTCCTCATCGATCACCTCGAGGAACTCGTCATCATCCTCAGGCCGTGCGTCCGTCGCGTTTGCGACGAAGGCTTGTCGCCGAGGAAGTCCCTTCCCGCTTCCTTTGGAAGTCTGTGAAGAGGATGCGAACGAAGTAGAGCTCGAGGAGGATGAAGAGCTTGTGCTGTTCTTTCCAGCTTTGCCCATGCCTTTTGCCATCTTTGTTAACCACTGGTGGAGGCGCTCTGAATTCCGGCCATTGGAGTGTCAAACATTCGGCAATCGCCTCAAAAGTCCAAGCTCTGCTGTGTGCCAACCAGTATGAGGCGTCGGTCGGCATGAGAAAGGCCGGATCGATCAAGAAGCCTCGATCCCAAGGCCTCACCGTCGAAGGTGGCATCCAAGTTCACTCCAACTGGCATCAACAAGCGTTGTACTCGTCGGAATCGAAGCACATAGGTCCTCATCGTCTCGCCGTGGTATCGGCGCACCTGTTCAAAGCCCTGCAAGAATCTCCTTTTCTGGTAAATGACCCGTTGCTCAAATGGTCGTTGCAGGTTTTGGAGGATTGGCTGAACTCCATCGTCCACATAGAACTCCTCGATGGCCATGTGCTCGAGTTCCTGCTCAGGTTCTCCCGTGAGGGAGTTGTAGACCAACAAGCAAGGCCTGCTCTTTGGGAGTGGCATAGGCTTTCATTTGAAGTTGCCATATTGCTATCTTCTTCTTGTACTTTGCGAAGGCGCGCATGTCTTGACTATCATAGCGCCATGTCGAGACAGCAGGGTATTGACCCGACTTCCATTTGATCCCGGGCTCTGGCCCATTCCGGGAATTCCATGTCGTGGAACTGTCAGAGGTCTGTCTCCTCGCCGTCTGAGGGCTGGTGCCTGCAAAGGCGTCAACAGTCCACATCGTTCCGGTATGTTGTCGCGCGGCGTAGGAGCAGCTGGTCCATGGTCACGCGGAGGACGTGCTCTAGGTAGTCGAGGACCTGGTTGAGCTTTGGGGCCAGGACGTAACAGGGTCTCGGTCCGGGTCCACCACCGGGTCAGCTGTGGGAACTTCTGACTCAGCTCTTTCCTCTTCATCTGCCGTGCTCGGAGGGCCGATGGGAGGTCCAGTCGTGGTCCTTCGTCTCCTCCTGCGGCGGGTCGACTTGGGGCCTCTGAACCATCAGCTCGATGAGGAAGGGACATCCAGGTTCCTGCACTGGTGACTCTCTTCATGGGCTCAGTGGGCTGATAGAAGTCCTTCGACGAGCATCTCACACATGTCCACACGGACCCAACTAGATGATAGCGGCCGAATCGCACAGGGCACAAAGCCAAGGAGCAGCAGCCGTCGGCGAAGAAGGCGACGTAGTCAGTGGATTGGGCTCATGCTCTACCTGGGTCGTAGCTCTGGGCGCCGATCAATCCGACTCCAATGGTCCATCAGCAGGATCAAGGTCTGGGTCAAAGTCAAAGGCCATCCAATCGTCCTGCGGGTCATCATCAGTGTCGGCCACGGTCATATCAAAGACCTGTCTAGCCTGGGCATAGCGGTTGAAGTCGAAGGAAGGCGCTCAGAGTCCAAAGCTCCGGTGCCAACTGAACAAAACCATGCGCAACGCACGGAGGACGAAAGCTTTTCCGCACAAGGTCAGGTGCGAAGTGCAAACACACATGGCTCGCGGATCCTTGAACAGCGGAAGCATGAACAGTCAATCTGCTTGCTCAGAATTGTCAATATATATATATAGATAAATAATTGGGTGCACTACTCTTTCAAGTTGGCACATTACTTTGTGTATTGCACGTTTCAAAGGACTTCACATGCAGCACCTTAAAGTAGAATTCTCCTGTCGCAAATGCTGCATCTCCTCCTGAGGTGTGGCGCTAGAAGTGGCGAGGCTTCAATGTATATAGAAGAAAAGCGCGTCTGGAATACACAGCAAGCTAAAAGCAATGACATGCATGAATCATGCAGCAGCAAGTCATCATTGAGGGGGCAAATACGTGCAAATACCAACTTCGTTCAACAAAGACGTGCATTTCGCCTAGGCAAACATCAGAGTCCAGCTTCTGATGCACTGTTAGCTTGATTTTTTCCAGTCACACAAGGACCCATGTTCTCTGAAGGAGCATGGGAGATTGGCCTCCGAAGGAGCAGCATGCAGATCAGTTGGCGCCTCCGTTGCTGTGTGTTCTTCTGTTGTTTGTTCTCATGTTGAGCTACTGCAATCGCATTTCATGAAACATATGATAGGCTTTGAAGGCCACAGTTGCATGGATGCTGTGTGCATAATTCTGCAAGCGTACCTCGTGGCGCAATGCTTCGACCAATGCAGAAATGGACCTGGAGAGAAACATTTTGTCGGCATTGCACGAACGGAAAAAACACCGTGAACCCAAAAAATCAAAATCAAACAATCGCAGGACCTCTCCAAGATTTGTTTGCTAAATGTTCTTGGCGGGGAAACTACAGCAGGACCAAGGATCCAAGCGGGGGGCTGAAATGATCATTGCGAGACAAAGCCAGAACCCTCCAGAAAGTTTGGAAGAGAGGGCACTAAAAGCTTTGAACACTTTGACCAACTTTAGACTTGAAAGGAAGACTTTCCGGTTGGTTAGCTAGCTCTCTTGAGGATGCAGCTCTCGACATCGCTCATTCCTGATCTCCATTTCTTCCAAATGTTGGTGAAGCTCCTGAGCTGTTCAAATAGAAAAGGCAAACAGTGGACACTTTCACAACAAGTTCAACACCGTGACATTGATTTTGATTTGAAACTGAACCGGTTGAAACAATATGGTTGTTGTGTCCTCTATGGCCGCGCAGTCAAAGGGCGAGGCGGGCAAATGCACAAGAAGCTTCTCCTGCAAGCAGCAAACAACAATGCAAACTCGATGAAACTCCTAGTGACAAGTACACAGCTGTAGAGCTCAGATAGCGCAGTACATCTCCAGCATATTCTATAAAAATCTTGCCCCAAGTCATTCCGCAGAACCGACAAACATTAGCTGACACTTTGACAATTCATTCTTGCAACTGCCGACTGAACACATTTGACAGCATTGCCAATGTCGTATCATGCGCACACTCAATCTGTATGCCTTCTCTGCAAACTCGCTCAGTTGATCGTTGACAGGTACCTTTACAATTCCATGGTCAGCAGGACTCATGCATATTCTATGAAAGCATAGCAATGTACACAAATGGCTGCATGGCAGCACAACTTAGTTTCATTGTTGTCAAACGTGATATCATGCAACCTCTGCTCATGCAGTGCTCTTACATCATCAGTCATGGCTTCAACCCTCTGCAACATGTGGCGCTATACCAAAGACATCCAAGGAGTACCAAGCGCCAAGCGCTCATTGCCACCACTCCCTTGCCATTCTACCATTCCCAATTCTAATTTGGTGGCACCACACGATAGACATCGATGTGCTGGCTGGCCTGTGAGACACATGCAACCGCTGACACAATCAACCGCCGCTTGTAATACTGCGTTCAGCACTAGTCCACTTTGAATGGGGGGCGTCAATTTTAAAATTCCTTTATGTTTCACAGACATTTACAGCCACACCTTTGTGCAATGAAGCATCTTGAGCAAACCATAGCCGCACAAATGGACATATGCAAAGCATTGTCTTACAAAGCAAACACCTAGCTTGCAATACTGTTGGCCTTTCACCAGATATGACCAATGAACTTTAGAATTGAGTGTGCTCCGATGAAGGGTTTTCAGCCCTCTTAAGATTGCAATCAGCTACGTACTGTTCTTTTGCAGGTTTCTGAGGTCGTCAACAAAGTGTCAAATGAGTGGAGGTGACTCCATTGACCGAGCGACTGAGATGAGGCAAAGACGACTTTGAGAGCAGGTTCTAGATGGTTCTGTTTGTGCCTTTAGAAGGCCGATGATTACCTGCTTCATTTGTAAAGCTTTATTCAGCTGTATGCACTTGCTTGTAAAAGCGCACCTGTGCTGGTTTAGCGCTGCTGTTCTGGTTAGGGGGTTGGCAAAAGCATATTTTTTTGTTTTTGCTCGACAAGGTTTGGCCAGAGGCGTAAAGCCGTAAACATCGAACAATCTATGTTTCAAAAGTTAACTAGTTTAAAAAAACGCATACAGTAAACTCAGTAAACATGTGTTTTACAGAATCCGCAGGAAAAACGAAAAACATCGCTTCTTTATCTTCTTTTTTAAAACCAAAGTTTGCCCGCGCATCGCAGCTCGATTTTTGCCAAAGGCACGGCAAAAACGGAAACACTTTAAAACATAAACCACAATTTTGGTCACTGTAGGTCACTGTAAAAGCAATGCAAAGCTGCTGTTTTTGCAGACATCGGGAGTACAAGTTGTAAACACAGCAAGTTGTCCTGTGTTTTGTTTTGGCCGGGTTTCACCGCTTTCGGAAGGCAAAACTCACCGGAATCAAATCAATCTGACCTTTCCGGTGAATTTGTTAAAGTCTGTCTTTTGCTTTTTGAACTTCAATTGTTGTAGAATTAAGTTCGTTCTTCCGTTGTATGTGTTAAGTTATTGTTCTTCTTTGGTGTTTCAATTCTATTCCATTGTGAGATAATCCCTTTCCGGGTCTATACAGTCCAAAATTTGTCCAACTACCGGTGTAAAAACCCACAGTTTTACAAAATCATGGCCCAAAAAACTGCGCAAATAGCTCAGGTACCTCAGCTAGGATTTTTGTTACTCAAGGCGTGGTAAAAACGATATTGTTTCAAGAATTTGCGGTAAACCCGGTAAAACTGCGCAAATGATTATGTTTTTACCACAATGCCCGAGTCTTTCAGCTGTGGATTCTACCAAAAGGCGCGGTAAAAAAAAGACACACAGTACTAACAATATGACAATATGTAATGGTCGTTTTTCTTGTTTTATCGCTTGTCTGCAGTCCCTCCTACCGAAAGGCCCGGTAAAATTGTTAAAACATGAATTCAAAAAAAAACATCCGGCGTCATGACGGTAAAAGTCGAACATTTTATCTTTTATCCGCATTGTCCCAGTCTCTCAGCTATTGCTAATTCAATCAAAAGGCATGGCAAAGATTGTAACCATCACAATGTTTTTCTTTTATTTGCTGGTTTCTCAACCAAACAAATTGACCAATCTCCATGGTAAAAAGCACAGCAAAACAATTCTTTTTCTGCATTGCCCGAGTCCCTCAACTATGAATGTTACCGAAAGGCGCAGCAAAACTTGTAAAATTAGTAGTTTTTTTATGTTTTCTTTGCGGCGGGTGCTAAACAATGGTCAGAATGGGAAGGTTTATAATGTAGAAACACAAGCACTCAGTGTGCATGCGGTTTCGTAAGGCATGCTGCATTCTTGTGAGCCGCCTGCCTCAGGTGAATCTTCTAGACCCATGGCATGGCAGAATCGTGCAACCACCTGGAAAATCAGGAGGTGCACCGTCTGAAGATAGCTGATATAGTACAAGTACATTTCATGCGTGTGTAAGCGTGTAACCCACCTTTCAACACAAACAGTTGCGCAATACTGGAAAGGCCCCAAAGGCCTCTGCAGCAGTGCGGGGCCCATCCATTGTCATAGCAGGGACACCTTAAACGCAACATCAAATAACCGCACCCAAAGGATCAGCAAAAGCATAAACTCCAGCCAATCACGACCGGCACTGCTCTGGTTGTGCAGAGTTGATTTGCGTACAAACACAAAATGACGCCATGGAAACCGGAAATGTGGAAGAAAGAATCGGTTGACACCACCACCAAAGAAACACCAAGACATGACAAACAAAATTACCGGCAAGATATCATCAAACGAAACACCACCAGCGAAACAAAACCAAACCACCGAAACAATCCAAACCATGACTGAGGCACCGCAACGGAAGACCGATGCACCACAAACAGCACCAATACCGAACGAAACGAACAAAAAAAGGACAAGACATCACCAAGCAAGATTGGGAGCAACAAACACACCAAACAAGATATGATCGAAGCGTTTCTTCAACAGTTTTCCTTTCCCGAAAACTGCTCTTTCGTTTGCCTTTTGTGAGGCCCGAATGCAAATTCTTTACTCGGTTGTTTGTTTGAACTTTCGTCGCTTGTTACATAGACAAAGAACACACTTGATGGCATTGAGTGGGTAATAAATCATTACACACTTTTGTGTGGGGCCTCCTTTCCGATCCATATTCGCCTTTGCAAATCTTGCGGCGCAAGATTTTGCTCAAGCATTCTATTGAAACATAGCAGGACAGTGCCTTTGGCTTCTTGACTGCTATTCTCCAAGGTTTCACATGCGTGGATCTCACCTTGGAGACTTGCGTAGTTTGTTTCCAAATTTTCCGTTTGGTTTCTTTCCCCGTGCGGACGCTGTAGAATTGTATATCTCAGCGTGTGCAATGTGCAACCTTAGTTTTGCCCAACCACAAACAAACTCAACCTCTAGGGCCGTGCGTGTGATTTATGTCATTGTCATGGTACCGTCTTTCGCAAACCTGTCGCTTCCCTTACGCCTCGAAGCGTGCACAAATTGAATATGCCATGGAAACTCGATCTATATACTGAATCCTAGATCTATTTCATAAGCCGCATGCATGTAGGTAGAAAATGATAAAAAAGACACATTATGACATTACACCACTGTAGATCCCAAACAGTTTGTGTTTGTTAGCATCTGATTACTCTGCAACTAGAGTTTGCGACGGAGGCGCTTCTTGTAAATCCAGAGCTGGGAGACAAATGTAAAGGATTCCAATGCAGAGGCGGACACAGCAGTCCAGAGCTGGCAAGGAAATGTAGAGGATTGCAAGCGAGAGGCGGACACCGCAGAGCTGGGAAACAAATGTAAAGGATTGCAAGCCAGAGGTCGGCACCGCGGGGCGGACACAGCAGTCCACACCAGGCGGACACACTTAAAAGATCTTAAAAGCATTGAGAACCCATCAGAATCCCAACAGTAAACTGCTTGGGGAAAAATGAAACTTGTGTCGGCAAAAATCTATGGATGCCTCGAATGGCCGGCAGCATTGGCATTAATTGAAAATTCAAGAGTTCAGCTGTCAAAGTGATATTAAACGGTGGGAGCACGGCCCCATAGCACATTGACCATCACTCCTTGGATTCAAAAATCAATCTAGTCAATACTTTCAAACATATTGCTTCCACTTGAGGCAACAGAACTTGGGATCTAACTGTCAGGACAAGCGAGACGTTCTTTGCGTCATGAAGGCACGTGTAATTGTCGGACTCTGCTGCAACCCTCAGAAACACACTAAAAAAACAACTTGCTCTTTTCTTCCTGCATCATCTTGCATCAGTAGTTTTCCTGCCAATCGTGAGCCAAACACATGACAGGTCACAATACCTCTGTCCGGCTTGTGGGAAAACGAGTGCTTCGTATTTCTTCAGTTCTTCAAGAAATGTATCGTCCTTCCCTTCCGCCACATCTGCTCAGGATGTGCTTGCTGCGTTCTGATGTATATCTGCGAGAGCAATCAATGGGACTGACAGGTTTCCCCTAAGACTTGAGACACAATAAGGATGATTCACAGAAGATACGAAAGTCGCACACACACACATTTCCAATATTCACATTCGAATGAGTAACCCGAGTAACACCATGATACTCAATTCGTTTGTTTCGTGTCTAGTGATAACCTTTTTGCTTCCAGGAAAGCCGAATGCTGCACATGGCGCTTTGGATCAAACATGAGGTATCGGTATGTGCTGAATAGTTTTATATGCCATACTTTTGACTTGCACTTCTTGCATCATTCTACAAGACTATATATCCAAAGCAACATGCAAACAGCGCAAACTCAACGCATGAGTTGCTGGGCTGGCGTCTCATCACTGAACCTTAGTGGGATATTCTGAAGCACGCATGCGTCAATACCCATGTGGGCCAATTACAGCACACAAAAAGCGGAAACATGACTCTTTGAAGAGATTTCATAATCAAAGCCAGCTGGGTGGCGTGAAGAACTAGGCGGGGCAGTATATTCATTGTCATCAACTCTTGGATCATCAGCTTGCAGGCATACCTCACGTGCTCTTTACTCATCTGTGCCCTGGACCCCTTGGTACGGTTTCAAGCAAATCTACTGCTTTCATTCTGCTTTCTGCTCTTTCTAGTGGTCACGGCAAGCAAATCTGGGAGACTTTGGCCTTGTCCTGGATGGCTGCAAAGTGCAACATAGCTGACAAATGGGTCCCGATCCTTGCAAAGCTTGCACTCGTAAGTGTCGTTCTTGAGCTTTGCGATGGCGAACAAACCGCACCTCAAGCCGTGCCAACAATAGGTCATACTCGTCAACTTTGTGGCCAGCTCGCACCGAATCGAGCAGGCCAAAGCCAAAACAAGCATCGTCATGTCGAAACTGCTGAAATCCAGAATTGTCAACATTGAACACCAAGTTGGAATCAAGAGCTTGCATATTCCTCTTACTTCTGAAATGCAGTGCTAGGGGCGTATCGCACACATGAACGCGATGGGCGTCAGATACATCAAAGAGACGCTCCTGGCAAAGGAGTTTTCAAGATGTTTCAATATGTCTCAGTGCAACTGGCCGTAGTGACAAACCATAATGGTCTTGCTACCCAACTGCTTCTTCCTTGCCAACCACATGGCAGCCAAGGTTTTGCCAATATTGGTGGGTTGGGAGCAGCCCAGCACATGAGAAGAATTGCACCAACAACTTCATTTAAAATGTCGTCACGTGCATTTTTCTTGATTAACTGACCAAAGAGTTCAGCAAACCGAGTAGAATGTGCGGCTTGAACCACAATATTCTATTGTGATCTGGTCTGCAAAAACGACACAAATGCAACCCGAAACGCCTTAGTGAGACTCTGTTCCCTTGTGCCCATGCTGTCCTTCAAGAACTTCGCTGCCCCATGGGAGATGATGCAATCTCTTTCCTGGTTCCAAAGGGCATTCCAACTAATTCCGACATTTGTGTTCAAACGACGAAGTAGCAACGGTGCAGCTGAAGGTCCATTTCTCCAAATCTCAGGCCGCCCTCTTTTGCGCGACCTACCAAACTGCGAGGCTGGGTTTGGGGGTTACTGCAAACTCTGGTCTAATAGGACACGGCGCCCGAACCTACCAAAGGCACTGTGATAAGCACAGGTTTGAAACAAACATTGAAGGCTTCTCTTTGCAACTCCATCCTCCCTTCCTGCTCTTACAACTGCGCCGTGTAAACTGTTCTGACTGGCCGAACGTGAAGCGACAAACACACACTTAGGATAGGGTGTACTGAACTGAAAGCGGTGCCACACGCCAGCCCAAGTTTTTAAAAGGAGGTGTCAGGAAAATAATAGGTTAAAGGCCATCGGCTTTGGGTTGGAGGCCAACGCAAGGCTGTTGGGGGCCAAGACCTAAGGTTGGAGGCCATCGCTAGTAGGCCGTAGACCATAGGCACAAAGTGACAGCAAGAAGCAAAGTTGGAGATCATCGCTAGTAGGTTGGAGGCCAGGGTACCAAGTTGGAGGCCAGTCAGTGCTACCAGGTTACAAAAAGCACAAGAAGCACAAAAACACAAGGCAGCCAAGGTTGGAGGTCCTCGCTAGTGGGTGGAGGCCAGGGTACCAAGTTAGAGTTACCAGGTTACAAGAAACAGAAAACACACAAGACAGCCAAGGTTGGGGGCCAATCTAGTGGGTGGAGGCCAAAGTTCAGGTTAAAGATCCCCTTACAAAGTTAGGAGGGCTACCTGCAAACCTATAGAGTAGTCTAGAGGAAAACAGTAAAGGCACCGACACACAAGTGTGTCGAGTACCATTTCCTCCTGTTTTCCTAAATAGTGGAGCAGGTACAGAAGTTTGCGTCCAAACTTCCATCCAGTCGATTTCCATAGCTTCATTGGCGTGACTAGGAAATCGACCGTCACGCCCCCTGCTCTAAACCCAAAGGTTCCATGTGATTCCAAGGGTTACACGCACACACACTCACCCAAACTCAAATGAACTTGCAGCCAGGGGAAGGTCGTGTTTTCGAGTGTGACCAGGTTCTGTGCCCGCCTAATTTCATTGCCTCGTGTTGCCAAGCGGGCCAAGCACATGGATCGGTCACTTTTCTTTTGCCGAACAGAGCATTTCCCACGACATCACCTCCAAAACGTTGCCTCCAAAATAGGAACATGTAGGGAACGGAATCCAACTAGCACCGAGATAATCTATCTATGAGAGACCCACTAAAAAACAACATCAACATGAATAAACTTGAAATTAACAAGAACCTCTGGGAAGTAGCTCTGACTCAACACCTTGCCTTCAGTTGGCTGTCTTGTAAGGGTCTGGACCTGCCACACATGCCGCGTGTGATTCACGAGGCAAACCGCAAATCACAACGACTTTGTCGAGTGCATTTCAAAAGCAAATTCATGAAGTATTATTGGCAACTTGCAAAATCACAACATGTCACGACTCTCTACCATAATATTAATGGCCATAAATGGTTCGTTGCTAGACTCACTAGACTCTTCTCTAACCTTCTTGCTTCCAATCTCATTGCAACGTTGAGCTGCTTTGAGGGGCACTGTCCACGAGTCTTGAAACGCTACTGCACTGCTACGGTATTTATTTTGTACCAAACAATGTTGAGACACATAGAAACACCTTCTGTGGCTTACCCCTCAGGCGCTGGCAGGACCACGAGACCTAGACTGTACTTTGTCGCTGACCATGTGCTTGAGGCGCTGGTAATACCTGCCAAACGTCAGAATACGTATTTTTTGCATGACTTGCGGCAAGATGCCTGAACACTTAAATGAATGTGCGCGTTGCCCGAACGATCACAAGGGCACACAGGCCCCGCGAAGATCTTGTTCGTGAGCGGACGGCCAGTGTGACCATTCCAAACCTTTTCGTTCCCAAACCGCTGGAAACCCATGTCGTGGAGCCTTGGGCGACAAGTTAAACAACAAACAACCCCAGCTCGAAGCTCTTGCTGGCAGTCGACACCAAACACTAAAGTATTCCTCGTTTGGACTGGTTTGCCTCAGTGGCCAACCTGCTGCTGATGTCTTTCACTGTGACTCGCGTGAAAGGCGTGGCCTCAGAAACTTGCGTAGCACCACGATGGAAGTTCGTCGTCGGTCAGAAACCAGTCATTTTGGAGTGGCCGCGGCCGTTGACCTATATCCGCAGCTTCATGAAGCTCACACACTCGGGCTAAAATGTATTTGGTCTGATTGCACCACCCCCAAAGGCCTGAATGAAAAAGGTTCCTGAGTAAACATCAGTAAAACCCTCAAAGTCCTGAAGAAGCCATCAGAGATTCAAAGACGCCGTCAAGTCCAAAGTTTCAAATACGCGACTGCCGACGTTCTAGTTGGGAACGGCAAGTGGGGAGTAAACGTGAAAACGCGGGTATATTCGTGGACATCTCCAATGATATCACAGAACGTCATAGCCGTCTTCGTTGGCTGCAGAACTATGACATTCCCTGCAGGCCCCTGCTTGTAAAAGAAAAAACAAAAACGAGAGGTGAACAAATAAAGCCCGGTGGCCCAGTGACTCCATGGGCTTCACACACACGCCTCCCCAGAGGGGAGGCAAATTTAAGTGTACATGTGCGCGCCAAAGGGCAAAGGACAAACACATGATAGAGAGACATGAAAACGCCATGCGCAGTATGTACGGGCAGTAAGAGGGAACCAAGTCTCACTGCAATGCCTGCGAATGCACCGCAGGGCAATCTTTTGCTAAAAAAGGGCTTGAACTCGAGGTGCACCTTTTGGCGCCGGCGAAACACGTGCATCTTCAGCCATGCGGTTTCACGAAGGTCATGGTGCTTCTTGTACATGCGTTTTGTCACTGGGAGTATTTTCTTTCGTGGAACCGCTGCCGAGTGCTTTCAGCTGGATGAACGGTCGCTTCAGCCATGCGGCCATGTCATCCCTGAGCTGCCTTGTGCATTTTGTGAGGCCGTCTGCCCACATCAGGTTTGTGGGACACCAAAAACTGGTGCTGGAGTTATGAACTCCTGGATCGACCTGATGTCTATATACATGTGTCCTTTTCTCGGCTGTTCGCGGGTTTTCCGCGGAAACCGCGTCAAACAAACTCCTGCAATCCGTCACTTGCGGCTGCTGCAGCTTCCACTTCTTGGGGTCCCGGTGGAAGGCGGTGCCGGTCAAGAGCTCATTGAGGACAAGCAAAACGTAGTGGGCACGGTCAACGCAGTCATCGCAAGCTATCGACTCTGCCGCTAGAGTCGAGCGGCAAACTCGGCTTGACCGATTGGAGCGCCAATCGACGATGTTGCCCTTGGTGATGACCTGAGTGCAGAGAGGCGTCGTGAGGAGCACGATACATCCCTGTTGGGACGCACACTGAGCTGCATTCGCCCAGGAGCTGTCGGCGTACCCGACGATGGTTGTGGCTACTTGGTTGATCGCCACATCTTGGAAGGTGAGTTGTGTAGTCCAGGGTGGCATAGAGTTGAGCAAGCTCGCCCTGTGTCTTTCCCTTTGTTGGCCAATGAGACCCAGGCAGCCAGTTCTGGTCGAGCCTGCGAGCCACTGGATGGGTCCCGTCAGGGATCGGAAGGAGAGTGGTGGCCCCTCCTGGATGCGTCCTTTGCGGACTTGTCCTGGCTCACTGTTGGCTATGAGCTGTTTCTGAGCGACGGCCGCGTCAAACTTTGGGACGTCCTTGGCCGGTGGAAGGTCGGCGTAGATCTGGTGCTCCACGGTCAGGACCTGTGCCGAAGTAGTCATAGTGTTTGCCAAGCGTTTCATCCGTCCCACTCGAATTCGTGAGCCGTCTCTGCTTCCGAGTCCATGTTGTAGTGCGCTGCCATGGTAGTTGTCGTGACTCGGCTGTGAGAAGGCTCCAAGCATCGATCTCCTCCTCTGGATGGTCGGACTCCTCCAGGTTCAAAGGCGGTGGCTCCAGATAGCCTGCTTGCTGTCGAGGTGCCTGGCTGGGTTTTGCGCGCTGCTGCCTCTTGGGTGTAGCGGCCGCCAAAACTGTCTCCGGCATTAGAGGGAAGTTCGAAGGCAAAGGACCTTGGTGATAGTCCACGTGTACCAGGCGTCGGTTGATCTCCCATGATCCGTCCACAACAGCGCTGGAGGAAGGCAGTGGCAACGGTGAGGAACCCGATGCTGTGACGAAGTACTCCAGCCTTGGAGTCCACTTCCATTTCTTCTTGCGCTCCATGCACTGTATAGGAGCCATGGCGATTTCCGGACCGCTTGATGCGTCGATGATCGCAAGCTGGTCCTGCCAATGGGGCGGTCACTTGTGCCACTGGGGCCGCCTTGGCCTTGGCCTTTCTCTTTGGAGTTGCCGTCGAAGGAGTCGAGGAGATAGCCAGGGGCGCCCGCAGGAATCTCTGAGCACGGCGTGCCCACTCCATAGTCCGCTTGACCAGGTGGCGCAGATCTTTCGAAAAAGACTGCCACAAATGAACATGTTCAAAGCTGTTGAACTGCATGACATCAATCGCTAGATTGCCAAACTTCCTGGCCTGTATGACGGAGGTGGTCGTCGATCAGGGAAACCTGACAAGGGTGGAGGGACAGGTCGATGGCCCGGCCACTGAAACATCATCACATCCTTCACGGTGTCAAAGTCCAAAGTCTGCATCGCCCCGATGAGGACTTGTCGTTGATGTTCACGACTCAGACGGGCTCGCTCCAGGAGGCGGGCTCCGCGAGCCTCAGAGTCATACATTTGTTCTACGTTGATCCCCAGGTGAGGTGGACAAATGTCCGCACCACCCTCCTCCTATAGCGGTTGATGAAAGGCCTCATGGCCTCAGCGGGACCTCTACTGATGTGCTCATAGTCGGCAAGGATGTAGTTGACTCCCTCGTTGGAGAACAGCTTGTCCACGGGGCGTCTTCAAGTTCCTCTTCCAATTCCCCTTTTAGGGATTGAAACAGAAGGATGCCAGTCTCGCGGATGGGGACGTAGTTCTGGACCTGTAGCATCCACATGCGCGCGCGCTTTTCCCACTTCTGGTAGGCGCGCAAGTCGCCCTTCTCGTAGTGCCACTGGGGCGCCGGCGGAACAGCTCCGCCCCTGAACTTGACCCCAGGTTGGGGCCTTTCAACGTGTTCCAAGTGGTCTTCCCCGAGGAGGAGGTGTCGTTCTTCTTCTTGATGTCCTCGAGGGTGATCACATCATTGGGATCTGGCTCACTCTTTCTTCGAGATCCACCTCTTCGGCTTCGCCGGTTCGATGGTCTTGAACCGTTCCCAGGTGATGCAGCAGCAGCAGCAGCAGGGGCGCCAAGTGGATCAGCAGGGAACGTGGATCAGCTCGTTGATGTTGGTTCTCAGAAGGGGTGACCGTTGGGTCCCATGTCAAAGCCTCACTCTCGGCTTGCTCAGAACCGAGGGGCTCGTTGCCATCAGGCGGAAAGGGATCAGGTACTCTTTGGAGTCCGGGAGGATGCCGTAGGCGATCGGCAGGATGATGACCTGGTAATCGATGAGTTTCAGGATCATTGCCATGGGGTACTCGTGAAGGTCCTCGCGGAAGCCGCCATTGGGCATAGTCCCCATTGGTGTAGTCCTGAATGGAGTCGTCGTAGGTCGGGCATAGTATTGGGCTCGTTCATAGGTATGCTGGGCGGTCGAAGGCTGAGGTGTGAAGAACCAGCCTGCTTGACCAAAGGCGCCGGCGCTGGCGCGGTAGTCCGCGTGGCCGCACTCGGTGCAGTGCCATTGCCCTCTGTCAAAGCGAAAACCATCATGACCACAGTTCTGACATACACACTGCGTTGAGGCATCGCTGTGGGTGGTGAACTCATAGCTATGCGATGTGGAATCCATACGGTAGGTCTGTGGTGGGTCATCTGCAGTCGTGCCTTGATGGTGGTCAGGTGGCTCATCGTCTTCAGGCAGCGGCCTCCTCTGCAAGCGCGGCTGCCACCCAGCAGCTCGTGGAAAGGCCATGGGATCGGCAGGCGCAAGGATGGGCTCGTGAGCCCGCGGTAGCCCGCTTTGGGGCTCCGCTACCAACTCACTGCAATGCTTGCGAATGCACCGCAGGCCAATCTTTTGCTAAAAAAGGGCTTGAGCTCGAGGTGCACGTTTTGGTGCCGGCGAAACATGTGCATCTTCAGCCATGCGGTTTCACGAAGGTCATGGTGCTTCTTGTACATGCGTTTTGTCACCAAGTGAACAGGGACAACCAATGCCAAACCTCCTTTTCCAGAACCTGAGCACCTCAACCTGGTTTTAATGTAACTGTGCACGCGCAAGCTAAGGACCCGACGCCCGACGAGTGTGTGCGCAAAAGAGAGAAAGGATGAGAGAGGAAAGAAATGACGAGACATGAAGGCGGAGAAGCCACGAAAAGAAAAAAACAAAGGACAAGAAAGGTGTGTGAGGCAACTGAGAGGGGAACCAGATGAAGGGGACAGTCCGGATGAAGCCGTACCTTGTTATAGAATCATTAGAGCGAACCACCTAGCCTCGTTAAGTGTGGATGAGACGCGCAATTTGCATGCTAGATTAAGGTCCCGACAGGGAGCCGCTGATCCCAACTGACGTACAGGTCTTAACCCACGTTTGTCATAAGACTCCTATGCCCGCCGGGCACGTTCCCCTCCGGCAAGAGTTCCAGCACAGAGGGGACGACGACTCTTGCTTTGACCAGGACCGAGGGGGCTACTTCGGGCTCTCGAGTCTCGAGGAGAGACACACGGGATATATAAAATGCGTTTGGTCTGATTGCACCTCTCAGAAAGGCCTGAGTGAAAACATGTTCCTGAGTATACTAAAGGATAACGTAAGACGGTCTAAACATCTGTAGCCCTCAACATTGATAGATCCCTCAAAGTCGTTGAGAAGCCATCAAAGACGCACTCAAATCCAAATCCAAACTGCTAAATACGTGAGGCGCAATGGCCAGAGTTCTTGTTCTCGTTATGTGATAAAAACGGGGCCAAGTGGGGAGTAAGAGTCAAAAGGATTCAAAAAGGCAGGTAAATTGGTGGACGTCTCCAGCGGTATCGCAGAACGCCATAGATCTTCGTTGGCTGCAGAACTATGACATTTCCTGCAACCCCCTGCTAATGCCAAGAAAAGGGTCAAACAAAACGTGAGCTAAAGAGCCACCAGTGACTCCGCACTCGTGAAATTGGAGCGTGCAATCGGAGGTGGCCACCACCCTCAAAGGCATAAGGGAAAAACTATGGGGTAAAGCCAGGTCCCGGCCGGTGAAGCCCCCCCCACACACACACACACACGACCCCAGCCAAGGGAAGGTCTCAGGGTCGTTGGTATCATATCCCATATGCAAAGTTGAAACGGCGACAGCACTTAGAGAGGAAAAATACATTGGCCTTGCGAAGCGGCGCAAATCTTTCACAAGTGGAGTTGCAGGCAAAAACCGGACAGGCAGAAAGGAGAGGAAAAGGTTGATTTCAGGCGCGAAGAAGCCGCGGAAAAAGACCAATACCGCAGCTCCAAATTGTTGTAAAATAATGTATTATCAATATTCATATACTGTAACTAGGCCCTCATATGAGAGACGCGCGCTTGAATTTGAAGGTTGCCCCCTTCCTTGAAGGCCGCAGGAAAAGATTGTCTGAGTAAACCAGGTCCCAACACAAGCAGAACTCACCTTGCCCAAAAACTTCGTTTAAGAACTTACCCACCTTGCCTGCTTGCCTGAAGCTCCGGTCGTCACGGTCGTCCGTTACGGACATGTCTCCTTACCGTCACGGAACCCGCCATGAGAAATTAGCATCCGCGGACCGAGTTGTTTTGCATGAAGGCCTGAATGAATTAACGGCCGAGTAAACCAGGGTACTGGTAATCCTACACAGTGGTGTATGGTCGCCCAAAGCCCAAAGCCCAAAAGGAGTTTTCAAGCTCTAACAGCTCAAGCGCTCAAGCCTTTCCAAACTTCGAGTCGATAGAAAGTCGAATGATTACCAAACGTCGCAAACAGGGTGCACCAAGTTGATCAAACCTGGCTTCCATCGCCGCGTATGAAAAGATAGAAAAGTTAACCTCTTACTCCCAGGTGCACATGCGCACACACACACACTGCAGTGAAAAGGAATGACACGTGACACGCGTTGTGGTAAACCTAGAGTCCTAGGAATACGAACTTATCTTGTAAAGCAAAGTAATTACACACGAGCATGTGGAAGTCCTTGGCTTAGCCTCTTGCCACTCAGCACAAAACAAGTACAGGTACGTCTGGCTTCGGATTGCACATCTGGATATCAACATATACCACGCAATGTAGTTTAACGTAGCTTTTTCGACCCAGTCCCGCAATCTGATGAAAAACATACAAAGTTGGAATGTGGATGATGAGGATGCAAATACAATCAAATACACATGAAGACTGGTATAAAAATATTAGTACTTTACACACACACACAAGCCCCCGGCATCACCTTGGCAACCGACCAGCGCACCAACCTGCAAGAACATGTTTCCGCTTTCAAGCAGCAACCTTGAAAAAACATAGATTTGCTGTACAGCATTCAATTTCATAGCATAGTCATATACTCGTCAAGGAAGATTTGCTTCAACCTGTCTGTGACTGTGTATCTTAACAAAAAGTGAAAGTGCAGTTTCTGCTTCGGTCTGCCTTCCCGGTGAGCTGCTCCACCAAGTGCCCAATCGTCATTCGAGAAGGAATGGCGTGAGGATTCATGATCTGGCGCGAATAAACAAATTACAGCAGTCCGCTCCATCCCCAAATGTTCAAAATGTTCCAAATGTGCAAAAACGCATAAGCTCCCCCGCAACTCCCACAGGTCAAAACTTGCGACCCATACATTGATGCTATACATCAAGCAACACTCGAGCAAAGTTCTTTTCTACAGTGTAACGTAGCGTGTTATTATTGAAGGGCACCTACGCCCAAGCGCGCTTCGCCGACATCTCCACAGTACAGAGACTACGGCGCACATAGGTAGTGCCCTTGCCTAAGCAGAAACCTACGAACGTGAGGCTTTTGTTCTACATTGGGCAGTTTGTCGACGATAGAAATTTGGAACCTGTTTAGCATCTTGGACGTGCCCACAAGCAGCAAACAATCAAACAGCAAACCTGTTAATCTTGAAGCGAGGAGGAAAGTGAAACTGTTTTTGAACAAACAACAACAACAACAACAACAACAACAACAACTACTACTACTACTACTACTACTCCTGCTACTACTACTACTACTACTACTACTACTACTACTACTACTACCTACTGCTACTGCTACTGCTACTCCTACTCCTACTACTACTACAACAACAACTAATACTACTACTACTACCACGACGACGACTACGACTACGACCACGACCACGACGACTACTACTACGACGACGACTACTACTACGACCACTACTACTACTACTACTACCACAACTACTACTACTGCTACTATTGCATCCTACATCCTACATCCTACGTCCTACATCCTAACCTGCAACCTGCTACCTGCTACCTGCTACCTCCTACCTACTACCTACCTACTACTACTACTACTCCTCCTACTCCTCCTCCTCCTGCTCCTACTACTCCTACTACTCCTACTACTCCTACTACTCCTACTACTACTACTACTCCTACTACTGCTCCTACTGCTCCTACTGCTCCTACTGCTCCGACTGCTCCGACTACTCCTACTCCTACTCCTACTCCTACTCCTACTCCTACTCCTACTCCTACTACTACTACTACTACTACTACTACTACTACTACTACTACTACT